GAGCAACCTCGCCGTTGCTGTCCTGCTGCCGCGTGTGCAACCTCCCCGAGGAACCTGGCAGTGATGTCACGGCAGCGCGCCATCTAAGTTTTCTCCTTCCTCCCGTTCTCCAGCGTCGAAGGCTCCGTTACTTCCGTTGCCCGACGCGCGGATCCCGGAAGATGGATGCAAGCCTCACTTCCGCCCGCCAGCCAGACTTGGCCCTGGTGGTACGTTCGCAGCCTCATCCTGTCACTCATATGAATTCGGGATTGCTGACGCCGTGTTTGCAGTCAGAGGACGATTTCCCCTATGAGCAGGACATCCAACGAAATCCGGGAAGCACCAAACCATGGCTGGCCTACATCGAGTACAAACTTCAACATGGGACGCTCCGAGAGCAAGCGTTTGTTATGGAGAGGGCATGCGCTCAGCTGCCGCGGTCGTACAAGCTGTGGAAGATGGTGGGTTCCCTGTCACCGTGCTGCAAGAGCCGTCGTCCTAAGCTACTCCATCCAGTATCTCCGGTTCAGGACGAAGCACGTCGCCAAGCTCAACGCCGCTACCTTCGCCGCCGAGTATCAGAAAGTGAACGCACTGTTCGAGCGAGCGCTGATCCTCCTAAATAAGATGCCCAGGATATGGGAGATGTACCTCAAATTTCTGATGCAGCAGCCCCTCGTGACACACACGCGGCACGCTTTCGACCGGGCGCTCCGGGCGCTCCCTATCACACAGCACAACAGGATATGGGCGCTCTACCTGCCGTTCGCGAACTCGGCGGAAGGGATGACGGCTGTCAAGATCTGGCGGCGGTATATGCAGGTTCACCCCGAAGACGCCGAGGACTTTATCGAGCTGTTGGTCCACACGGGACTCTACACCGAGGCGGCGAATAAGTACATTGAGATTCTTGACAATCCCCGCTTCCAGAGCAAGAACGCCAAGGGCCACTACGAGTTGTGGAGTGAGACGGTGGACTTGCTCGTCGAGCATGCCGTGGACATAGAGGCAGGCCACGAGACGGGCATCGACGTGGAAGGCATCATCCGAAGTGGAATCGAACGATTCAGCGACCAAAGAGGAAAGTTGTGGTGCGGCTTGGCGACCTACTGGATCCGGCGGGGCAACTTTGAGCGTGCGAGGGATGTGTTCGAGGAGGGCATCACCACAGTCATGACGGTCCGCGACTTTACCCTAGTGTTTGACTCGTACGCTGAGTTTGAGGAGTCGATCATTGGCGCGCTGATGGAGGTTGCTTCCACGCGAGCTGAGAAGGGTGTGGTGGACGATGCAGCCGACTTCGACCTGGACATCCGCATGATGCGCTTTGAGCATCTTATGGACCGTCGGCCTTTCCTCCTTAATGACGTTCTGCTTCGGCAGAATCCAAACAACGTGGCGGAATGGGAGAAGCGGGTAGCCTTGTGGGGCGACAACAAGGAGGAGGTGGTGCAGACGTACACCGATGCCATCGCCGCCATCCAACCTAAGAAGGCCGTCGGCGCATTCCACCAACTATGGGCCAATTACGCAAAGTTCTACGAGAAGGGCGGGGACTTGCGGAATGCCAGGATTATCATGGAGAAGGCGGTCAAGGTTCCGTTCAAGTCGGTGGCCGAGCTTGCTGATATGTGGATCGAATGGGCTGAGATGGAGCTCCGGAACGAGAACTTTGACGAGGCCGTCAGGATCATGGCCAAGGCGGTGCAGGCGCCCAAGAGGTCGACGGTGGACTACTTCGACGAGACCTTATCGCCACAACAACGGGTACATAAGAGTTGGAAGCTGTGGAGCTTCTACGTCGACCTCGTGGAGAGTGTGAGCTCCCTCGAGGAGACCAAGAAAGTCTATGAAAGGATATTCGAGCTTCGAATCGCAACACCCCAAACTGTGGTGAACTACGCCAACCTTCTCGAGGAACACAAGTACTTTGAGGAATCGTTCAAAATCTATGAGCGCGGTCTCGACCTCTTCAGCTACCCGGTTGCGTTCGAGCTATGGAATCTCTATCTAACCAAGGCAGTTGACCGCAAGATCAGCATTGAGCGGTTAAGGGACCTGTTCGAACAGGCAATCCTCGACTGCCCGCCAAAGTTCGCCAAGGTTATCTACCTCATGTACGGCAATCTCGAAGAGGAGCGCGGCCTGGCACGCCATGCCATGCGCATCTATGAGCGCGCCACGCGTGCCGTATCGGACGAAGACCGGGCGGACATGTTTAACTTCTATATAACAAAATCAGCCTCCAACTTCGGCTTGCCATCGACGCGGCCAATTTACGAGCGTGCCATCGCAACATTGCCAGACAACGAGGCCCGCGACATGTGCCTCAAGTTCGCCGACATGGAGAAGAGGCTCGGCGAGATCGACCGAGCGAGGGCGATCTACGGGCACGCGTCGCAGTTTTGCGACCCGCGGACGAACCCCGACTTCTGGGCCAAATGGGAGAGCTTCGAGGTGCAGCATGGCAACGAGGACACGTTCAAGGAGATGCTGCGGATCAAGCGCAGCGTGCAGGCGCAGTACAATACGGATGTTAACTTCATCGCCTCGCAGGCGATCGCCAGAAGCCAGCAGCAAAAGCTACAGAACGGCGGCGAGGAGGTGGACCAGGAAGTTGCCGACGCGATGGAGCAGCTGGAGAGACAGGCTCGCGCACCAGCAGGGTTTGTGGCTGCCTCGGACGGGATCAAGGGGAGCGTGCCCAGCCAGCCGGTGGAAGTATCCAACCCCGATGCTATCGACCTCGACGATATGGACGAATGACATGACCTTGGTATTTAGACGGGGATCAGATGTATACTTTTGTGAGCGGAGCCAAGATGGAATTTTCTCGGACGCGAAGGGCGCCGGGCAGGATAAGGGTGTGTCGTGATATCGCAATAGTCGTCATCGGTTTTCAGCCTGGAGCGGGAACAAGCGAATAAATAAACTGCTTCTCCCTTTCTTCCCGTATTAGGTACGAGGCATTTTTGTATTCGATGTTTCCCTCGTGCCGGATGACTTTATTCTGGGATTTATATACATACCTACATACCGTGTCTAATACGCATCTTCAGTCCTTGCTCGATGACTCAGTCACAACTCGACTTATATGATATAGCTCTTACACCCCCTTAAGCCAATCGCCCCAAGCCCGGTCAAGGCTTACTGTCTTATTTTATGTTCCAATAAGCTCGATTCATAACTAACTTCAACTCCAGAAATACAAGCACCATATAATGTATGATACCATGCAAAGCCTAACATGTAGCTGCCTAGGTATATTACATCACTTCTTAGCGAGCCCCATCTCTTCCAGCTTCTTGTAGTACTTTTCCGGGCGGTTGCTGTCGATATGCCCATCGCGTGAGCTGGGGACAGCGTAGATGGACCCCTTCCGCTTCTGGAAGCGTGACGGCGGTACCTTGGACGCGTCTATACCCGGACCATGACATCGATTGCTGTTAGTCTCCCTTTCATTCCCTTTGGTGTTTCTTCTTTTGTCTCATGGGGATTTGGTATGAGAACAGCGGGGTGGACAAAGCCATGTTATTGGAAGGGGCCGGGTCAAACAGAAAGGGGAGATGGATAGGACGGGAAGGAAGGAAGGGCGGCGAAGACATACCCCACTCGTCGCTGTTTCGCCGGTCTCGGTCTGATGTCGGGGGCACCAGGCTGGCCGGGCTCGCGGCCGGGTTCTCTGTGGCCAACGAGGGCGACTTGTTGGCTTCGCTCGCTGTGCTTTCTTTTTTGTTGTCTGTAGTGCTATTAGTTCCGCTCAGGGAATCCTCGGGGCCAAACGGAATGGGTTGGGAGCGAGGACGCGCAAGAGGAGGATTACCGGCCATTGTGGATGGTTCTATAAGATCTGGTTACTGGATCTTGACGCTTCGCGAGATCTTTGCAACCGAGAGCTGCGAAAGAAGAGATGAGGAGGAAAGTTCAAGCTTAGAGTTGATTCCGTCACATCCATAGGAGGTGAAAACTTAAAGGTCGAGGTCTGAGCGCACCTCCGGGTTGGGTACAACTGTATCATAGCGCGATCTAGACATCGGATGATCCCCGCGATGGTCTTATGCATGTGACGGTTTGCCCCTGGCCCAGTCTCTGTCGCTTTCTCTCCTACCTTCCAAGGTACTACTTCCATTAATGTATGGACGCGAGTAAGGCTGCCCCTCTTCACCAATCGCTATGTATTTCAACAGCGGCATTGTCTTGTCTACTCTGCGCTTTGATCAGGCTCTCAGATCACGAGACGCTCGAGCAGCAGCTAAGAAAGAGGCAGTGCACCAGTCATGTCCAATCACAAGGATGGCAGACGGTCGAGCGCAGTCAGTTTAACGCTCCTGACGTCATGCTAGCGTCGAAGCTATGCAATGAGATATACTACTGGTCTTCCATCGATCTCCCGCAACAGCATCGGCTTCCTAGCTAGGGAATGCTGCCTACAAGTACTGAACCTATCTGACCCGGAGCCAACCGTGTACACACAGGAGTATTATCTTGTTGGTTCGGATAGTATGTCTAAGTTGTACATTCTTCCGCTAAGTCGGGTATGTGTCTCGTGCCTGGAATCTGCAAGAGTCTAGACTGATTAATGTGGCGAATGGCCATGCATGACGCCTTATAACCTTATCTACCCACGTGTTTCGACTACTTGTAGAAATAAAGAGAGGAGCACATCTAATCCAGTAGGGATCGGCGGCAAGGAGATGTTGAACTGAGAGTTGGTCAGATTATGCAGTGCCACAGCTTGACAGCGCCATGGAGAGATGGTAGTTAACGTTGGTTCAGTTATAGCGAATTCAGCGCTGCGGGGGAAGGAACTGGGCACAAAGGAGCTGATCAGGAGATTATTGGACAGGGCAGCTGAGAGAGTCGTGAAGGTAGACTTCATGGGATGTCTCAAATGTAGGCGCTTCTAGCCGGAGTAAAGTGTAAACCTGTCATCGGACAAGGGATTCTTCAAAGACTCGGGAGCCAGAAACGGAAGGAGAAAAGAGAAGAGAAGACAAAAGCCAAGAGCGCAAAAGGTGAGGTCGTGCCCGGGTTCGAACCGGGGTTATTGGAAAGTTTGACATTTTGACGTCAGTCAAAATCCAAAGTGATAACCACTACACTACACAACCTTTTGTGCTATTCTCGGATTCAGATTTTAAATTGATAAGGCTGTTGTTGCAAAAAGTAGATAGGGTTAGGGTTATGCTAGACAAAACTATCCCGACAGTTCAAGCAAAAAGGAGTAAAGGAAACAGAATTAAAGCTAAAAGAAAGAAAGAAAAGGCGAAAATGAAAAGAAAGAGAAGGAAGAAGAGGAAGAGAAGGAAGAAAGAAAGGAATGAGATGAATAATCTACTCGTCTTCATGTTAAGTGCTCGGCTTTTCTGGCCAGAGGGTGCCAGGACCACCATCATCAAAGCACAAAGGAGCAGCAGGAGTGGAGGCGGAAAGGGAATCGAGGCGAGTAGACTCGGTTATCGTTGTAGTCTCTACATGATGGAATATAGTCTTGCGCCCATTAACAAAGTCTATAACTCTAGTCATCCTGATTCAACCATCCTCTATCATCCCCTATCATGTCTGTTTGCGGTGCAGTATACCAGCACCAGCCTGGAAAGCAGTCAGCCCGTGTCCTGACCGGAAGAGCCGGAGTCCTTGAATTATCAGAGACTTACTTGATGGCTGGGGAAGATCAGTGTATCGGCGACAACGACATTCTGCCGTCGCCCGGCAACAAAGACGACCACCTCGGCAATGTCGTCGGGTGTCAGGGGGTCGCAGCCACTACATCACGCAGTGTCAGGCACGGGACCTCAGGAGAAATCCAAGCTAAGTAAGGTAGGTACTTACGCATAGACAGCATCCGCCTTGGACTTGTCCCCATAGAACCGGACAACGGAGAATTCCTGTCCCCCTTGGCATTAGCCCCTTTCATCCATAGCAATGGCTTGCTCAGACTCACCGTCTCAACCTGCCCGGGGTCGATCTCCATGACTCTGATCCGCGTGGCAATCAGCTCCTGGCGCAGAGCATCCGTGAAGGCGCGCACGGCAGCCTTGGTGGCGCAGTAGATGCTGCCACCGGCGTAGGGCTCCCGCCCGGCGATGCTGCCAATGTTGATGATGTCGCCGGCGCCGCCGTCGGGCCGGGCCTTGAAGATGGGCAGGACAGCCTGGGTCATGTTGATCAGGCCGGTGACGTTGGTCTGAAACATAACATTGATGTCTTCCTCGGCGATCTCAGGTGCGCGGGCGACTGGGAGGAAAATGTCAGTCCCCGTCTATCCTCATCCATCCCCGCCTGTGGCCTCAACAGTGCTCGAATCAGGCACATTCTAAGCATACCTCCTTTGACCAGCCCCCTAATAAAACACCGTCAGCAACAACCAACTAGCTCAATTAGGTACCACGCCTCATGCATACATCTCCCCGCTCGCTTGATCAAAGAAAGGATACTCACGCATTATTGACCAGCACATCAATGCTCCTAAACTCCTCAGGCAATCCGCCAACAAAACCCCGCACCTGCTCGGGATCGGCCACGTCCAACGCGACAGGCAGCACCTTGACACCGTCGCCGACCTCCTCCTTGATCTGCGCGGCAATCTCCTTCAGCCTGTCCACTCGCCGCGCCGTGAGGACCAGCTTCAGATGCTTGGGCGCGGTGCGGGCAAACTCAAAGGCACAGCTCCGGCCGATGCCCGACGACGCGCCTGTGATGACTATCGTCTTGCCTTCGAGGCGTTTGGCCATGGCGGAGGACATGGTTGTTCTCACTGCTGATGCTGCTGCGAAGAAGAAAGAGGGTGCTGGAGGTGTTGCCGGGAATACAGAAGGAAAGTGGGGTCGGGATTGGGAGTGAGATGGAGATTGGCAGAGGACTCGCGCGGTGGTTATGACTTTCCTGGCGGCTGTTGCTGTTGTTCGTGAGAGCATGGCAGGAGACGAAGGTATTTATTTAAGTCCCGGGAGCAATGCCTTGAGACCAGTGGAACAGCGAACCCCCGCGGAGTCGACGTTGACGCCATCTCGTAGGTGGTCCACTCCTGAATATTGCCGGTGCCGGGCCGGCCCCGGAAACGCCCCGCATCGCGCTCCATCGCGCCGACGATAAGCACGTACCCCGCACTGCCTCCTGGAATACGCTATGTTGTCTACGTGCCGCTGCTCTAATAAGTATCTGAGATAACGTGTAGTTATGCCGAAAGGAGAGTTAGTTTGTAAGATAATCCGAGTACCTACTTTACATCCATGCCATGCCGAATCGCATTCCCGTCCTGACGCCTTTCTATGAGCGGAGAGGTGTTAGCCCCTGAATACCCAAATATCCGACCATAGCAGATCCACCAGCTCCGATCAGTCCTTTCTATCCAGGAACGCCAGTCTATGGAAGCGGTCCAAGCAAGCAAACATCGGGTATCCAGAATCGAGCCTTGACAAATTATCCACAATGGCGCTGAGTCACTCCGAGCGACCCGCGTCGAGGTTCACAGCTGCCCTCCTCCTCTCACCTTCCTCACGATACCGCTGCTTCATCATCTCCTCAAACGAGAACATGTTCTTTCGGTAGACGGCGAAAGTGCAGAGCGTCGCGGCAGCGAGCACGGCACAACACACAATCATGTCCTCCTTCAGGGCGTCCGTGTACACCGTCCTGATCAGTGCCCACTGCTCCGGCGATAGACTGTCTGATGCTAGGTTGGCGAGTGCCTCAGGCGGCACGCTCGCGCCGGCTAGCACCGCGCGGGTTTCGTTGCCCAGGATGGCCGACGACGCGGCAATGCCGATGCTGCCGCCAAAGATACGGACCTGGGACATGATGCCTTGGGCAGATGCTATTCCCAGGGTGTTAGCGTCTCACATCATGGGCAGGAAAATGGAGTGAAATGAAATAAGACCAGCAAAAGAAAACCCACCATGCTCCCAAATAGGTGCCTCCGCCAAAGCCAACATCGTTCCCCCCGCAGCCGACAACCCGAACCCCAAGCCAACAAACACCAAAAACCCCAACACCTTCGCCTCGATTTTGCCGCCCTCCACAGAAGCAGACGCCGTCGTCTCGAGAGCACAACCCAGCATCATCAGCCCGCACGCGGCAAGCAGTGTCTCCACGAACCGGACCTTCCTCCCCTTCCCGCTGTTGATGGCGCCGGCCAGGGTCGTCCCGGCGGCACTCGCGGCCAGCATGGGGAGCAGCATCAGCCCCGCCTGCAGGGCGCTCCTGCCGTAGACGACCTGGAAGCGCACGGGGAAGGCGTAGACACAGAGGAGGTAGGGGAAGCCCGTCAGCATGGTGTGCAGCACGGCGGCGACGTAGACGCGGTTGCGGAGGAGCACGGGGGGCAGGGCCATGGCGAGTTTGTTATTGCTTTTGTTGTTGCGGAACCGGGACCAAGATGGGTAGAAAGCTTGCCAGAAGAAGAGCAGAGCGAGGCAAAGCAAGCCGCAGAGGAGCGGCGCGAGGAACACGGCGGAGGACCAGGTGGGTGATTTAGAGGCGTTTTGGAAGGGGAAGACTATTAGCACCGCGGAGGCGATGCTATATTTGTTTGGAGGGTATGTGTCAGTGGGTGGTTTGAGTAAGGGGAAATGAAAGAAGTGAAGAGGACTCACAGGAGGAAGGCGCCGATGAAGTCCACGTCTTTCCAGGCGCGACGTTCAATCGAGGGGAGGTACTTCTTGTCCGGCCAGGCAAGGAAGAAGACGACGAGTGAGAAGATGCCCACGGGCCCGCTGGAAGCGTGTTAGCCGAGCCCCATGTGTGAAACATAGAGAAGGGATGACGGACTTGATCCAAAACACCCATCTCCAGCTCGTGTACTGCGTGAGAATGCCCCCCAACACAGGCCCCAGCACCCCCGAGGAAGCAAGCACCAACCCCACAACACTAGCGATATGCTTCTTGAGATGATCCGGCGTCAGCTCAGGAAGAACGATCATCCCGACACTATACAGCCCTACGTCACTTCACATCAGCCCCTTGTTCACCTGCCTCATCCCCTCCGACTTATCACGGCAAGTTGAGCAGCACTTACCAGAACCCCCCAACCCTTGTATCGCCCGAAACGCAATGATCTGCCCCATCCCCTGGCTGAACCCGCACGCCAGCGAAAAGACAATGAACACAACATAGGCGGCTATGAAGGCAACTCGGCGGCCCACAACATCCGAGATGCGGGCGTAGAGCACGGCACAGCTGAGATAGGTGAGGGTATAAGCCAGGGCGACCCAGTTGATGCTGTCGACGTCGCCGAACTCGACGGCAATGGTGAAGAGGGAGGTGGCGACGATGGAAGAGTCGAGCATGGAGAGGAAGAGGCCGAGGGCGACTCTGAGATGGTATGTTGTTAGCCCCCTCGTACGGGAGGAGGATGAGCGTTAGGCTGGTCCGGCGAGAGAGCCTTACCCCGTTGATACGGCGATGAGGCGTAGGCGTGGTATGTCTGGAGAGCCCAGGCCCTTTCCGTCCGCGCCATTGTCGTCCGCTCCGATCTGAGGCGCTTCGCTGTCGCTCGCAGCGGTAGATGTGACGGCCGGTTCTGCAGAGCGTTGCTTTTCGTTGTCAGGCATGTCCGTCGGCTCCACGTTGGGAGCGACTCGTCCCCTATCAAGTGATACCATGGCGCCGGTGAGGTTGCAATCTGAGCACAAATATCACGATGAGGTCCTCAGAAGGCAAGGCTCCTTGGGGCCGAGTAGCGGCCGCGGTCGGTTTATATGTGGCCATTCCTCGGGAGCTTCGGGCGGCGGCGGAGTTGCAGCTGGGCCTCCTAGTGCTCTGTTGCGTCTTCGACGCGCCTCCATACTAGTTGTTATGGCCGAGCCACTGCAACGAAGGTCCAATGCCACGCTTCAGGGGAAATGCTGAGATCGAAGGGCGGCTTGACATGGTCAGCGTCAGCAATCCGAGAATGCGAGTCAATGTGGACCGAGTTGATTCGCACTCGGTCTGTAGGCATCGTGACGCACACGAGTGTGAAGAACGATGAGTGAGCCACGGTAACCCTCCCCTGTGGTTGGTCGATTCCGAACGAGGAGCCATTGCAAAGCCCATCATCGTCGACTTGTATAAATCGACAGTGTCCCCATATATCCCAGTGTCTAACCCGTTCTGGGTGTCAGCCCGGCCT